ACAAACGAACAAACAAACAAACAAGCAATCAGAGACAAACAGAGACAAACAAAGACACACGAACACACAAAGAAGAAACGGAAAGAAACAACCACCAAAAGGAGGGACAAAACACGGAAGGAGAAGCAACACGAAAGGAGGAGAAACAAGTGGAAGGAGGAAGATCACTTATGACTAGGGACCTACGGGCGGGTGGGGTGAAGCAAACATGATATACCATCACAATGATGGTATGTCTCTGTCTAACAGCGTGGGTACAAATCCTTCTGGCCGGCCTGCTTGGCCCCTTGGGCTGCTATTTGGGCATTATCCGTCCCGATTCTCGTCCAACTTCGGCCTCTTCAACCACTATGGGTGCATCATTGTTTCCCTTTCTCTGCATTAGGGCTGACACCCCACGGCACACAAACTGCATGTCGCACACCGTTGCCGCCCTCCGGCCCGGACTGGCGCCATATATGGAGTCATGGTCCCCTTCTAAGCCCCGGGAGCAACAGAGCCTCAGTTGCATTGGCCTGGGTTGACGCCCTTTTTGGGCAGATACTGGCGCCATATGGGGGCGTAGTCTCCTTCTATCTTCAACCCGAATCCAACTTGCATCCTTCAACCGCTATGGATGCATCATTGTTTCCCGTTTTCTGCCCTAGGGCTGGGCCTTACGTAGTAGGACCCCTTGGTCTCTGCCCCATGGCGGCCCTGTGGCGGCTAAATTCTTCTCCAGCCGGGCTGGGTCTTGGGCCGGAGTCTCAGCCGGGCTCGGCTTTACGTAGTAGGGCCCCCTGGTCTCTGCCCCACCGCGGCCGTGTGGCGGCTACATTCTCTCCAGCCCCCGGGCTGGGTCTTGGGCCGGAGGCTTAGCTGGATCGGGCTTTATGTAGTAGAAGTACCGCGGTGATATGCAAAACGTGGAGGTGGTAATTTGAGGGCTTGCCCTAAACCCTGAAAAGTGGAAAATAGGGTGGCTTGCCTCCTATCTGGAGAGGGGTGGGAAGAAAGGTATAGGCCCCAGATCAAAGGGCCCGACTTCAAGAAACCACGCGTACACAACCCCAGAGATATGCCGCCACCTTCACACCCTTCAGGTGTCTATCGAATTATAGATATATAGATAATAGATATATAGGATCCCCGGCCGGTGATAGCCTATAGAATGTGGATCTTTTACAATTATGAAATGGTTTTCCGGACAGCCATTTTATAGGAAGGATGGTTGGGGTGCACTGTGGCCTCCTTTTGCAAGAGTTGGGTTCATCATTTTATAAGGCCCGCACTGCCTACTTGCAAACTCTTCCTTTTTCAAGCATAAACTTTTGCAAAGAAAATCCCTTCACTTTATAGGTGCCAAACGGTTTGGTGAATCAAATCTTATTATAGACACCCCGCTGACCTTTGCAAAGAAATTGTCCTCATTTTATAGGTATATGGTTGTGCTAAGTAGAGCATGGTGCACCATTTTTTGTGATACTAAATTCTATTGATATATATTTATATTTATATATATATATATTTATTTATATTTATATTTATATTTATGTTGAACATTTGTTGGTTTGGATGTTTTCAAAGAATGTTTGATTTATTTTGAGACGTCATAGATTGACAAGAATGGGGGGGCAGGGGGATCACCAAAAAAAACATTAAAACAAATTCAAAACATTTTGAAACCCACACTGGCACCTATAAAATGCCTTGCAAAGCTTGTACAGACCGCATTTAGTGTTCAACCAATTTTCCTTTCTTTACCTTTGTCCCAAGACTTTGGAAAAATTACATTATTAGAGTATATTAGAATCAATATTCTGACATGTTATCTGACATTTTCTCTGAGACATATTTTGACATTCTATCTGGCATCTTCTGTAGCATAAAAAATGCATATAAAATAAGCATATTGCAGCACATATTCAAATTCACGAAAAAATGAAGTTTTTTTCATTTAATGGTATTGCTAATGGCATATGATCTATAATATTTGAAATATTTATAATATATATTTCTTCACTTTGATTGTATTCAACATTGATAATATATATGTTCTACAATATTAATTCTTCAGGTACAACATTTGTCTTAATTTGTTGTATAGATATTTTTAACTCACAATTAAACATATTATAAGAATACACATATCAAAAAGTAAAGAGCCCATAAAATATCATTTTTAATTTTCAAACGTTACAAAAGTACCTTTTCCTGTTTACGCATTTAAATATGACATGTTTCACTTTCTTGTTGCGGCTTTTCCGCTGTGTCTCTCCCCTATAGCCTTCCCCCTTGGGGCCTTTCCGGGTCGAAGTCCTCGAGCCGCTGGGGCTTCCCCCTTCTTGTGTTACCCGACAGAAAAGAGGCAATGACAGGGTTTTGGTAGCCTGCTTTTTTTAAGTATTTCTTATTAAGCTGCCAAGGCGAGACCTTTTCGATGCCATGAAAGTAAGAAAGCAAAAATTGCCGCAAAACTTGTACAGTGTGTTACAGACCGCAGAGTGAATGCTGCACACCCAAGCTACCACCTATAAAATGCCATGCAAAGCTTGTACAGACCGCAGAGTGAATGCTGCACACCCAAGCTACCACCTATAAAATGCCATGCAAAGCTTGTACAGACCTCAGAGTGAATGCTGCACACCCAAGCTACCACCTATAAAATGCCATGCAAAGCTTGTACAGACCGCAGAGTGAATGCTGCACACCCAAGCTACCACCTATAAAATGCCGTGCAAAGCTTGTACAGACCTCAGAGTGAATGCTGCACACCCAAGCTACCACCTATAAAATGCCATGCAAAGCTTGTACAGACCGCAGAGTGAATGCTGCACACCCAAGCTACCACCTATAAAATGCCATGCAAAAGCTTGTACAGACCGCAGAGTGAATGCTGCAGACCCAAACTGCCACCTATAAAATGCCATGCAAAAGCTTGTACAGACCGCAGAGTGAATGCTGCAGACCCAAACTGCCACCTATAAAATGCCATGCAAAGCTTGTACAGACCGCAGAGTGAATGCTGCACACCCAAGCTACCACCTATAAAATGCCATGCAAAGCTTGTACAGACCGCAGAGTGAATGCTGCACACCCAAGCTACCACCTATAAAATGCCATGCAAAGCTTGTACAGACCTCAGAGTGAATGCTGCACACCCAAGCTACCACCTATAAAATGCCATGCAAAGCTTGTACAGACCGCAGAGTGAATGCTGCACACCCAAGCTACCACCTATAAAATGCCGTGCAAAGCTTGTACAGACCTCAGAGTGAATGCTGCACACCCAAGCTACCACCTATAAAATGCCATGCAAAGCTTGTACAGACCGCAGAGTGAATGCTGCACACCCAAGCTACCACCTATAAAATGCCATGCAAAGCTTGTACAGACCGCAGAGTGAATGCTGCACACCCAAGCTACCACCTATAAAATGCCATGCAAAGCTTGTACAGACCTGCAGAGTGAATGCTGCACACCCAAGCTACCACCTATAAAATGCCATGCAAAGCTTGTGCAGACCGCAGAGTGAATGCTGCACACCCAAGCTACCACCTATAAAATGCCATGCAAAGCTTGTACAGACCGCAGAGTGAATGCTGCACACCCAAGCTACCACCTATAAAATGCCATGCAAAGCTTGTGCAGACCGCAGAGTGAATGCTGCACACCCAAGCTACCACCTATAAAATGCCATGCAAAGCTTGTACAGACCGCAGAGTGAATGCTGCAGACCCAAACTGCCACCTATAAAATGCCATGCAAAAGCTTGTACAGACCGCAGAGTGAATGCTGCACACCCAAGCTACCACCTATAAAATGCCATGCAAAGCTTGTACAGACCGCAGAGTGAATGCTGCACACCCAAACTGCCACCTATAAAATGCCATGCAAAGCTTGTACAGGACGCAGAGTATTACAGGAGCTATTTCATAATGTTCCTAATTCCATTTTATAGGTGACTTGTTGGGCGTTTGTCTTACATCCCAACTACCCCCTCCAACTTGAGCAGTAACATTTTATAGACTATATTTTTGCTGTGGTCAATATCACTGTTAACCTTTGCAAAAGAAGTTGGGTCATAATATAGGAAGGTATGTGTTCATGATGGTTTTGCTTTGCACCTCATTTCATAGAGAGAATGTATGGGTCTACACCTTAGCTTTTCATTTTATAGAGCTATTTTTCCTATAGAATGAGGGGGGCAAAGGTCCCTAGGCAACACTAAGGGAGGATTATATAGGTATACAGGTATAGATATAGATATAGATATAGCTATAGATATAGATATAGATATAGATAGGTTTTTTCTTACGTTTAGATAGATAGATAGATAGATAGAAAAGGAAACGGAGCAGCAAAAAAGTTCTGCAGCTCACTCTGGCTCCGAGAACAGGACTCGCAAAACAAGGCCGAAAGAGTCAAATGGCCGCCGTTGCCATGACCGCGTTGGCGCTTGTGGTGGCTAACCAGGGCGAGGAGCCCGCGGGCGCCACCGCTGCGCTGCAGCTTGCCGTGACCTCCTCAGCCTTCCAGTGGCCAGGCCGCGGGGCGGCGCTTGGGCACAGGGCCGTGTTGGCCCTCGTGGCCGCCACTCGCTGGTGGTCGGTGGGCCGCTGCCGGGTCGGCTTTGAGGCCTTCCCGGGGGACGGCGAGGTCCCAGCAGCTCGGGGGACGGTCATCGACAAAGCTGACCGCCTGGTTCGAGGCGCCAGAAGAAAAGCGTTAGTTTTTTTTGGGTGTGAGGTGGAGTCCAGGTACAACCGAAACCTTCGAGGGATTTTTGGTGGGGACAAGCCAGATAGAAGGTCCAACTAAATGTTTGGGTAAATGCTATGGCGGGGACGACTCCAAGTAAACTGTCTTAGACCCTTGAAAGGTACGGTTGTGAGTGAATTGCGCACCTGCCTTTGTTTGTTTTGACACTTCAGGGGAGCCCCTTTCTCGCGCCGGTGCTGCTGGACGTCCTCTTCTGGCCCTCGGCGGTCGCCGTGTGGCACCGCTGACATCGCCCGCAGGTGGCCACGCTGGAACTCCACGGCCGCCTTGACTTCCCGGGCGGGCACTCGGCCGTGATCCTGTTCGAACTCTCGGTGACCCGACCTCCGTCGGATGACGGGCAGTCGGATGGTGGCTCACTGCCATCATCCCACTCCGCCTTTGGGTCCGTGGAGGAGGTGGACACGGAGGAGGAAGGCGAAGTTGAACACGACCCCGAGGAAGAGCCTGAGGCGGTAGAGGCGGATAGTGAGAGAGAGAGAGAGGGAGAGAGAGAGAGAGAGAGAGAGAGAGAAAGAGAGAGAGAGAGAGAGAGAAAGAGAGAGAGAGAGAGAGAAAGAAAGAAAGAGAGAGAGAGAGAGAGAGACAACCGCGCACGCCAGGCCTTCTTCGTCGACATCCACGCCCGGTGGGGGACCGGGGAGACAACCCCCCCCCGCAGAGGACGGGGGCCGGGGCTTGGGGCGCCCCGGCAGCATCCCCTCTTCGGAGGGGGGGCTGACCGCCCCGGCGGGCTGCAGCGTGTCGTCTGCTGTGCGCCTGTTCGTCGGAGCAGACGCGCCGCAGACGGCACGCTCCAGCACGCCAAAGGTCGGGAGAGCCGTCCAGCCAAGCAAGGCGCGGCAAGGCGCCAGACCGCGCTAGAACCAGACAAATGTCGGCAGTGCTGCCAGTTGCCTCCCGGAACCTTCTCCGGAAGCTTCTCCGGAACCCGGTTGAACCTGACCTGGCTCTGCACCAACGCCTCCTAGAGACTCTCAGAGCGATGTGCTTCAATTTGAAATTTAGTTGAGACAGGCATAGCATGTCCATGGCCGTGAGTTTGCAAAGTTTACTCTGAAAGCTGTTTTTTTGTTTGTTGGCCATACCGTTGCTAGCCGATCCTGTGTTTTCATGTTTGCACGGAAGCCGTCACAACGACGGCCGTCGAAGCGAAGTGGTCGGCCAGCACGTGAAAAGGTGTCGCAGCACCAACGCCATCCCACACCACGTAGCTTCTAGCAGTAACGTTTCATTTTTCGACGCCGGTGCCAGGGCGGAGCGTCATTTGAAGTAATTTTTTTTTGACAGAGTGTGTGACTCGAGTATCCGACGGCCGAAGTCGAACACCAGGGCTTTCTAGTAGCAGTTAGCTATGGCAGGAGCAAGCTGGAAAGGCAAGTGGGGCAGCGGCGGCAGCGGCTGGGGAGGAGAGGAGTGGCCCAGCTCCAGCTGGAAAGGTAAAGCCTGGGGCAAGAATAAACCCGGTAAGCAGCCGAAGGGCAAGGGGGAGTGGGAAGCAGAGCCCTGGCAAGAGGATCCAAGCCAAGCAGGAGCAGGCACCGGAGAACACACAGGCCGCATCTTGTCGCGGTACTAATTTCCCAAGGCCATCTTGAAGACGGCCGCGGACCAGGATGGATCGGCTTTCGTCAAGGAAGCCAGGAAAAAAGTGGATGATGTCAGCTTCCTGAGGCAAAAGTTTCTCAAGAGGACCTTGGGCAAGAATAACTCGCACTTGGTGAGGCGCCCGGGTGTGGGGTTGAGCGAGGCCGCCGGCTCCGTGCAATCCGGCGCAGAGGTGCTCCAGAACTTCGAGCAGCTGGATTTCAAGCTCGTCACGGACGTCCTCATAGAACGTCCCTTTGTGGGACCATAGCAAATGATTGGCATGGCAGTACGCCATCCTCTGGGCAGAGCCTTGAGGAGCACTAAGCAGTGCTGGGGCCCGAGGGGCCTAAGTTGACCACTCTCCAATGGCACCACCCATTGTCTATGACTGGAGCCGTGGTGTATGGCTGCCGGGCATCTTCAATGTCTGACCACCCTTGGAGTGGGTGGGAACGGCCTAAGCAGGCCTGGGTGGGAATTTAGGGTTTAGGGCGTCTCGGCTGCGTGGCAGCAGAAGTTCGAGTGCATGGACGGCGCCACCTCGTACCTGAAGGATGTGAAGGTGGCGGCGTATCATGGTGGTTGTGGTTGCGCGGCTTCATGACCCTGGGCCCTTTGATCTGGGGCTTATACCTTTCTTACCCACCCCTCTCCAGATAGGAGGCAAGCCGCCCAAGTTTCCACTTGTTAGGGTTTAGGGCAAGCCCTAAAATTCCCACCTTTTTGGTAAAGCCTTGGAATCAATGGGAAATGGGCGTTTTGAGGCAAATCCTGACCAGGAGCCTTTTGGAGCCAGATTTGTGGATTTTGGTGGCTTGGAAGCCGGCAATTACAAGCGCCTTCTGGGAGCATTGGGAAACAGCCGTTTTGGGCCAAATCCTGGCCAGGAGCCTCTTGGAGGCAGATTTGGCAAAACCGGTCCCGGCTTTGTCGACGTCGTGGACTTTGTGGACTTCGAGGACCAGGCGGGGGCCGGGACGTGGGGCATCTCGGCAGCATCCCCTCAAAAGAGGGGGGGCTGACCGCCCTGGCTCGGCAGGTTTGTCGAGCCGAAGGTCGGGAGAGCCGCCGATGGCACGCCCATGGCGAGCAAGGGCTTGCCTCAAGGCACGCCGCTGCCCGCAGCGTGGACAAAACCGGTCCCGGCTCCAAGGGGGGAGGGACCCTTGCCCAAAAACGGCCGTTGAAGACTAAACAAGCTTTAAAATGGCAATTTTTGAGCTCAGTTTAGGGTTGCCCTGCGCAGGGTTTTACCTTGGGGGGTTTAGGGTATTTACGTTCCTCATAGAACGTCCCTTTGTGGGACCATAGCAAATGATTGGCATGGCAGTACGCCATCCTCTGGGCAGTACGCCATCCTCTAAGCAGTGCTGCAATGGCACCACCCATTGTCTATGACTGGAGCCGTGGTGTATGGCTGCCGGGCATCTTCAGTGTCTGACCACCCTTGAAGTGGGTGGGAACGGCCTAAGTAGGCCTGGGTGGGAATTTAGGGTTTAGGGTTTAGGGTGTGCTCTGTGTCCGTTCGCGCGCTTTATCGGGCCGGCTCCCCATACTCTCACTATGCGTAGCCAGTATTCCCACCCCGGCCACCCTGTCTATGCTCTTTTCGGGCTTAGGGTTTCAGTTTAAGTGAAACCCTTCGTCGGGTCGCTGACTGAAGGTTTTTTTGAGCTGCTCCGGTTGAGTAACGATGACTGTCCGTAGAATATTTCCAGCGGGCTCCCCCCTACCCCCCTGTCAAGGGGGGAGTCTAGGGAATTTCTGCTTGCAGACAATACTTTCTCTCTTGTACACTAAACAAGGCCTGAATAGGCCTGGTCTGTATACTACCCTCTCTTGCGTTCCCTCTCCTTTACCTTGTCACCTCATACTCCTGCGAGCGCCTCCGCGATCCTTACCTTACGCAGTGCGCCTGTTGCCGGACCTCAAACATCCAAACAACCAAACTCTCTAACAAGATGTCAAATCCCAATGTTTGAACTGTTTTAATTTCTGTGAAGATTTTTCAATGTGGAGCAGTGAACAAATCGTTGGAAGTTTGTTTCTCACAATCTGTGTGATCTCGGCATTTTTATTTGAAGTGTTTTGTTTTTAACCACCCTCTGTCACTGGGACTATCTGATTACTTCAGTATGGTAGCAATCCCGGTTCAAGGGAAGGTGGGAGGGTTTTCCAAAAATTTGGAACAACCTCCGAAACAATTAGAATCGGGGGTATATATCATGCCATGAAATTTCGTGATGCTCCTATTCAGAAAGGACTGGCTTTGATCACTGCATTAGAACTGGAGAGACGTGCGTCCAAATCATTTGCTGGATTTCACATATTCTGTGGTTTCTTTTTGGGCTGCGCTTTTACTCTCTGGATTTTGCTCTGGTGATTTGCCTTGCACAGATTCATGGATGATACAGTTGAAACGGGATTTGAAGAAGTTCGTCCATTGAAAGGTTTCCGCAAGAGGTGGGCTACATCTTCAGTTGCCGATGATTTTTCAGTAGGTGACGCCGAACAGGTGTACGCTGAAGACCTGATGGGGGACCCTTCAAGCTGTGGACATGACTCACTGTCGGGTTGGGACGTTTTGCCAATGACTGCTCCTATTTGTGCAGGAGAAACAGTAGGAGAACAGCATGAGCCTTTTGACATGCATGACAGTGCGCCTTGTGTTCAGGTGGAAGACCCCTTTGGAGGCGAGTCTGCATGGAAGCAGTGTGCAATGACTGCCCACAGCAAAAGACAGAGGCTTGCAAGAGAGAAGCTTCCCTGGGAGCTGCCAGAGATGAGCACGGTATTCAGGACTGGTGACTGCTGGAGTGGCACTATCATTGCTGGAGTTAAAGACATGTTTTTACCTTCTGGCATTGGCATTTCAGAAGCTCTCAATTCAACGACAGTGCAAAGATCTTCAACTGCAGTTGCTTCTGACCATGGTGACCCACCTGTCATACGCTTGAATGTGAAGCGGGTGAGGAAGGAGCTGCCAGACGAAGATATCCGTCGAATGGCTTTGTGTAAGCTGCGTGACTTGATCCTGCAGGACCCCATGGCCAGTCAGTTGGGTAGCAGTATTAGTTCCATGCTTGGGGCAGGCTGCACCTCGCCGATTGTGGGGATGTCCATCAGTGACTGTTTCAGGGCAAAGGCCTCCTCGACATTACAGAAGCGGGCGAGCTCGTTGTGGAGGCTTGCAAAGATTTTCAGACAGCTGGGCTTCTTAAGTTTCATGAGAATGACGGAGGAGCAGCTGTACACAGCCTTGTGCTTCATGCGTGATTCAGGGGCTGGTGCAACATCGGCTCAACACATGGTAGAAGCAATTTTCTTTTTGGACTCAACAATCAAGTTACAACTGGTTGATGTGAGGGCTGTGGTGTCTGGGAGATGCAGAGGGGTTGCAAGAGACATGTACCTGACGAAGGATCCACTGGCACAGAAGCGGCCTTTGCTTCTGACCCATGTGCAAACGCTGGAGGGCCTTTTTGGTTCACTGCCGACCCCTCTGCAGTGCATCCTGGGGCAGATATTATTCTGCATACACGCCTGCTGCAGGTGGAAGGACGCTCAGAGGATCAAATCTCTGACAGTGGAGAGTGGCCATGGTGAGACTCTCATACATGCTGACGCCTTGTCATCAAAGACCTCGTCGAGCGCAGAACAGAAGACGAGATTCATGCCCTATGTCGCCCTGGGGTCGGGTGTGACTCAGACAGACTGGGGCTCAGTATGGCTTGATGCGCGTGATGTGGAAGGACTGCATCACAGTGACTTTACACTGCCTAGCTATTCAGAGAGGACTGCACAATGGACCACAAACCCAATGAGTGCATCTGAAGCCACTTTTTGGTTGCGTGAATTTCTCAGTGGAAACCTGGATCAGACCTCAGCTTTCCAATATGGATCTCACAGCTGCAAGACCACGTTGTTGACCTGGGCAGGCCGTTGCACTCAGGTGGCTTTCAGCCCATCAGATCGGAGGCTTTTAGGTCATCACATGGACCCGCACATGAAATCTGTCCTAACATACTCACGTGAAGGATATACCTGCCTTTGCTCAAAGATCCTTTCAATGTTCAAGCTCATTAGGACAGGGGACTTTGACCCAGACATGTCTGCCATTGACCGCGTTGTGCAGTTTTCTGAGCATGCACCTGGTGATGCTGTGGCAGAACAGTCAGGGGCACTTCATGCAGGTGATGCCGCCTCAGACTCAGAATCCAGTGTGGCGTTAGAGTGTGGTGAAGCTGGTGATGAGAGTTTTCGTTTCATGCCAC